AATGTATTACCTGGGAGACCGTCCTCCTCTATGGTCAAACATGTATGGACCAAAATATTAATAACACCGCCCTGCACTGCAGCCTGGGCACAGGACGGTTATTCACCAGTCACAGTGCTACACCCAAAGCTTCATTTTCTTGGTCTAGACTTTAATGATATTGTTGAAATTAATGTGAGTGGTTGAATGGATCTCCTTCAACAGGTGTTTGAGACTGAGTGCCTACTTTACCCAGATTATTAGATAACTATTAATAATAATGTCTATACACTCAACCCCACATACCAGCCCTTTTATTAATAGATTTGTAAGGAAGCCTAAACTCAATGTTTCCCTTGGCCTTTGAGTCTTCCTTTCCCCAAAGCCTCAGCCTCTCCTAGGAGGTGGCGTCCCTGCTAGAGCTTGGTGCATGGCACCGTTGAGCGGCAGTTCAGGGATAGGAACTCGGAAGAGTGACATTGCAGAAAAGAAAGTGATGGTGCAAATAAGAAGCCAAATTCACTTCTAGCATCAGTTTTCTGCATATCAGGCTGTAGATTCAGTTGGTTAATCAGAACCACAGATCGAGCCCACTCCTGCACTAAATAGAGATGGCCCCGTTGCCAGCAATTATCAATTCAGCCTCCCCCCACCCCTCCCGAGCCTTGGAGCCGCCGACCACGCAGGAGTCTGCAGCAGCCGGGAGAAAAGCTGATGAAGGCCGGTCTGTAATCACCGGCCAGCATCCAGCCGCTGACTCCTGGGTACTCTGACCTGTGGCGCAGAGCTGGAGTAAGTTATTTGCGATGTCCAAAGCAGAAGTGTGTTTTATTGAGTACCCCACAAAGGCACAGGAGAATTTATTTCTCATCTCTTTCATACCTGCAAAGATTTTATGGAACAGTGTTTGGACTGAGTTTCCTGGCCTTTCTATTGCAGAGGGGAAGCTTTGCCTAAGATCTATAATAAGCTGCAGCACTCTGAGCTGTCCAGTGGTCAGAAGTTAAATCTCGCAGACACCCCCTCATTCGCCAACACAGTTTGACTAACGCACGACGGTGGGTCCTGGAGATGCAGTGGGAACAGTCGATCAATCTCAGTGTCCCTGTTTCTGTTGCTGTGGCCTCCTTCACGCCACTCCCAGCACACCTGTGGGGCTGTGTGTTTGAACAGAGTCCTCGGGACACGGGATCCTCCTACCTGTTCAGCTGGGTGGGGGAAGAGCCCAGGCCTCACCTCGATGAGAGAAGTTGGTCTGACTTTGAAAGCTTCGGCTCCTGATGGCAGATGCCGTCTCCACATTCTGCACAGTGTCAAAGCACACCCCGACCCCAGGTGCAAACACCGAGGAACCATGGTTTTCATCATGGCGATTACCAAGAGGAGAGGTCAGCACAGTCGCTGTCACCTTCATTATTAGCCGTGGCCCCCGGTGCCCGAACACCTTGGGAGGGAACACATAATGCCCAGGCCCCCCAGGAATCCAAGGACTCAGGCATGTCCCGGCAAGAACTGGTCCAGCTGGGCTGAAGAGAGGCGGCTTCGGGAATCCCTGCAGCGACCTTCTGGTTAAGTCTCCTAAGAGAATACAGCTCCTGAGGAGGCTGACGCCCCAGGGGCCGACGTTCGCAGAGCGGTAAAGCCCCGCTTCAGGGGCCAAGAGCCCCGGCAGCCAAACTGACAGGCCTTCCAGAGCTTGCCTGGAGAGGGCGCTGTGGGTCCCCTCCCCTCGCTAAGGGTGAGCCCAGTCTGCCCTCCCTCACTGCCCCAGCATCTCCTCCGAAGCTGGGCTCTTAGGGACCCCCTCAGTCCGCTCAGTTCTACCTCTCATCTTCTCCCCCTGTGTATTTGTAGGTGGCAGTCATTTTCCCGTGTGAAAAATATGCCCAAGTTTGTATTCCATCAAAACCTCTTTCTTACACACATACGGATTCCTTTTTAATGCTAGGACGTGGGTTAATCCCTCACCAGCAGCAGCAGCAGCACAAATTTGGGGGAGTCCTTTGGAAAGTGGTTTGACAATGAGAATGACTACCATGGGCATGAACATAGTCCCCTTGAATTCAGTGAAGTGGCCCATGGGATGTTGTCGAAGGCAACAGCCCTAAAGGTGGGAAACAGCCATGTGCACAGCTTGTGGTGGCGACAGGGGGCCGAGTTGTTAGGAGCAGGGGCCGTGGAGCCAGCCGCCTGCCTTTGTGTCCTGCCTCTGTCGTCTGCTCCCTGTCTGATGGCTCCCTGAACACGGAGGTGAGGTAGCGCCACCCACCCAGCAGGGCTGTTGTGAGATTCAGAGAAGAGCGCGCATCTGCGAGGCACTTAGAATAGTGCGTGGACGCGGAAAGTGCCGCGCTAGAGCTGCAGCGGCGGTGGCTGTTGTTTCGGCAAAACGTAGGGGTGAAGCCGAAGTCTGCAGCCGCAGAGTGGCCGTGAAGTGCAGCCTCTAAGTGTAGTCACTTACAGTAAGAATCTGCTTATTTCAAAATTGACATTTATTCTAAAACTATTAGAAAATAGTATAATAATCATCTCTTGCCTAAAATTACATAGTGACATAGAAAAACAATTGTATCATGTTTAGTTTTTTAAATCATATCAATTTTATGTTATTATAGAATAATGGTAAACGGACGTATAAACACGAATCAAGGTCTAGAAGGAAAAAAAGGACAAAGGTTTTTACATTTTTGAGATGACAAAGTTAGAGGACTAATTTTTCTTTGTTTTAGAACTTCATGAGTTGGGCTAACGTTTGTTAATAATGATTCAAGAATGGTGTTATCAAACTTCCCGCTTAAGCCAGTCGCTATAATTGGAATGCTGTTAACCCTCCTCCGATGTGTCACAGGTATTAACCACGGGCCTGTAATAGCTGGTGTGATTGGCGCTCAGAAGCCACAGTATGACATCTGGGGCAACACCGTCAATGTGGCCAGTCGGATGGACAGCACCGGAGTCCTGGACAAAATACAGGTACTGCGGTCTGACTGTCGTCCCTGGCTGTGTCTGTTCTCTTGGAAACTGTAAATAAGTATTAATTAATATAATACCAATGATAATATATTAAGACAAAGGAAAGAACGTAAACCTTGCAATTTACTTAAATCTTATTGGGAAAATGTTAGCTTTTTTTTTTAATTGGCTGTTAATGAAAACAACAACAAAATTCTAATAGTATAAAGGTTATTGCATTTGTGAAAACAAATGACCCAGCAATGACCAGCGTGGCCGTACGACAGCCCTGGGCGTTAAGTGCGGGAGTGGAGCCTCCTCTCCTGTTCCTTCTCCCAGCCCAGCACCTTCAAAAGGGCTTTCAAGCCAGAGAAGTCCTGAAACCAAAGCCAGACATAACCCCACCTTCCTCTGCCAGGGAGCTGAATTGGGAGGAGGAGGGAAGAGATGAAACAGAAGGTTAATAAAAATGGCAGCTCTGGAATCCCCCCGAGCAGAGGAAAGCAAAGCTCTGACAAATTAAAAGCAATGATTGGAGAAAAATAAAATTATTTTATATTAAGATTCCTATTGCTCATTAAATCAATAACCGTGCTTAAAATAACTATAATTACAATAGCACTAATATTTTAGGAAAAAAAGTACTAAAAATCACTGAAAAGATAATAGGAAAATAATCTGTTATTAGAACTCTGCTGAAACTATCCCAAGTGCTGCAATAGAGCAGGGCCAATCCGGGATGGAAGGATGACAGAATCCACAGAAAAGGGGAGCGAGGGAGAAGGGAGGCTGCCGAGGTGGCAGATCTGTCTGGTCAAGTCTGTTCTTTAATTCATTCAACAACCGTGTGCCGTGCTCCTCCCATGTGCTGCCTTAGGCTCTGAGACTAAAGCAGTGAGCAAGTCAGCCTTGTATGGGGCATGTTCCACTGGGGACAATGCTTATCCATCAGTAGTCACAGCGGAGTCACTGCAAATGTGACAATGCCATCTCAAGAGGACGTCAGCCAGCTTGTGTCTAGGGAAGGCTTCGGAGCCCTGGACTTCGGGCTGACAGCCTGTGAGAGTAGAAATTAAAGATGTGGACCTGGAGACAGCATGTGAGGCCCACGGTTTCGGGAGACGTGAAGTGAGCTGACAGAGCACAAGGAGAAGCGAGTTCGAGGGTGCGTGCCCCAGTCGTCGTGAGCACGGCAGTGCCTCAAGAAGAACACAGTGAGATGGAGCAGGTGGAAGGAAAGGTGGTTTGAGGGTCCCCAGGTGAAGGAAGGAGACTGGAATAGGGCGTGTTTGGAGAATGTGCTCGCAGACCAGGAGAACGTCTGTGATATTAATGGGAGAAAATGAAGAAAAGAAAGGAGGTTGCAGGGGTAGAAACTGGAACCTATGGTTCATTCCAGTATTTTAGTGAAGGAAAGAAAACCTACCTAAGAAAAATATAAAAACAAATCAAGAAGTGCATGTCATTATTTTTTTTTTTTTTTTTTTGAGACAAAGTCTCACTCTTTTGCCCAGGCTAGAGTGCCATGGTGTCAGCCTAGCTCACAGCAACCTCAAACTCCTGGGCTTAAGCGATCCTCCTGTCTCAGCCTCCCGAGTAGCTGGGACTACAGACATGCGCCACCATGCCCGGCTAATTTTTTCTATATAGTTTTAGTTGTCCAATTAATTTCTTTGTATTTTTAGTAGAGACAGGGTCTCGCTCTTGCTCAGGCTGGTCTCGAACTCCTAAGCTCAAACGATCCGCCTACCTCAGCCTCCCAGAGTGCTAGAATTACAGGCGTGAGCCACCGCACCCGGCCAATGTCATTATATTTTTAACCTACATTATTTTATACATGTTTATAAGATAAACATGTTCCCAAGGTTTGGATGTAATATCAACTAATATATTTTCAGCAAAAGCCATTTTGTACCATGATTTGGAAATTTTTCTTAAACTGTGATAGAGATTATCTTTTTTATTCTCATTCTCCACCCTATCCCCAAATCTAATTACTGTGTTTTGGTTCATTGTGGGATTTGATTAAATTCTATCATTTTATGCTAAAGAAGTCATCCTGAAGCTGGCTGTCATAGTGACACATGATACTGTCTGTCCCCCTCAGAGGTACAAATCCATCTAGTAACATGGAAGGTGTTCCAGGCAAGAGTCTGGAGATACCCAGGTGTTATGGTCCTTACTTGCCTTCTTCAGAATTCTAATGTCATTAACCAGGAACTAGTGAAAATCCACCTGCCTTCCACTGGACAGTCAGGGAGCTGGTCACAGGCAGCCAGAAGGCACACACCTGCCAGGGCACAGTGCCAGGCACCAAGAAAGAAGGGCTGCGTTCCTCAAATGAGAAGCATGTGCGCGTGTGTGTTGTCTGTGCTGAACATTCTATTTGTGGTTATGTTGCACTCTGGAGGATGGACTCCTGTGAAATGGCAAATTCGTATGAAAATCACTGGACACATGTTAGACTATGTCATGGTTGTCCTCTTCGGGGACTTTGATGAGTCCCTGTACTGTTTGCCTCAGCTCAGCCAAGGCCCTCAATAGCCTTGCTCCTAAAATTATGATAAGGTATACAGTCCTTTCTTAACTTCTGTAAAAGACCATCGCCTCCAATGTCATCAAGAATGGGTCTTTTGACAGTGCTTGTGTTCAAATAACCCTTATATTATTTAATAATGGCTCCTAAGCACAAGGGTAGTGATGCTGGCAATTTGGATATGCCAAAGATAAGCCGTAAAGTGCTTCCTTTAAGTGAAGAGATGAAAGTTTTCAACTTAATGAAAGAAAAAAAAATCATACACTGAGGTTGCTAAGATCTACAGTACATTAAGATAGTTTGAGAGAGACTACATTCACATAACTTTTATTACAATATATTTTTATAATTGTTTTATTTTGTATTTGTTATTGTTAATCTCTTACTGTGCCTAGTTTATAAATTAAACTTTGTCAATGGTATGTATATATGGGAAAAGACATAGTATATGTAGAGTTCTGTACTATCTGCAGTTTCAGGCATCCACTGAGGATCTTAGAACATATCTCCCGAGAATAAGTGATAACTACTGTACTTGATTCCTTTTTTTTTTTTTTTTGAAGCAGAGTGTTGCTCTGTTGCCCCAGCTAGAGTGCAGTAGTTCACTGCAACCTCAAAATCCCAGGCTCAGGTGATCCTCCTGCCTCAGCCTCCCGAGTAGCTGGGCCTACAGCCGTATACCACTATGCCAGGCTAATTTTTCTGTTTTGTAGAGATAGGATGTCAATATGTTGCTCAGCTGGTCTTGAACTCCTGGTGTCAAGCAATCTTCCTGCCTCAGCCTCCGGGAGTGCTAGGATTGTAGGCATGAACCACTGCGCCTGGCTACAACTCTGTCTTAGTAGTACAAAAGCAGCCATGGGCAACAGCAGTAAACAGATATCATGGCTGTGTTCCAACAAAACTTTATTGTGAACACTGAAATTTTGAATGTTCTATAATTTTCACATGTCACAAAATATTCTTTTGGGTTTTTTATTCTCCCAAATTAAAAAATGTAAAAGTTAAAAAAAAAAACTTAATGAAAAAAAAGAAAAGAAATACCCTTAAAAATGTAAAAAAAAAAAAAAAGCCACTCTTAGCTGCTAGCTGTACAAAACCAGAGGGAGGACCAATTTGCCAATCCATGTCTTAAACCATTGTTTTCCAAATTGCAGCTGGCATCCCATCAATGAACTATAATATAATAAGTTTAGTTGGCTGCAATCAGCTTACCAAAAAAAAATGTTTTTCACTGACCCTAAGATGCCTTCAGTTGTAAGATATGTTATTTTTTGTTGTTGTTTCACATCAGACAGGTGATGTGCTGATGTGGTAGCAAGGTTTAGGGGAGCCACATCTCACACACGAGCATGAAAACACAATCGTGCTTATGAACTACAAAAGGACCCAAGCAACATTGTTTTTGATATCACTCTAAAATAAAAACAATATATACTGCAAAACAAATTATGTAATTTATTTCATATTGATGAGATACTATGATGAGATGCAATCTGATTTCAGAGATGTTAAAATGGAAATGCGAGCATGCACCTAGAATCAATGAAATGTGTTAATGGCATAGAAGGTAATAGAGCCCATCCCTTGTGCTGAAGTGAAGGTATTAGAGCATTTGACAAAACTTGTTTCGATTTATACACATAGAGTTTACCTTCTCCCTTGTAGGACAGTGGTAAACCATTTGGATTTGGATTTCACTAAATGCTTGGAGAATCTGAAATTAATGGATTTAAGTCCATGAGTCCCCAAGTGGTCATATGAATAACAGCTACTATTTATTTCACAAAGATTTAGCCTGTACAGTATGACAAACATTATTCTAGAAGCTGAGGATACAGCAGTAAACAAAACAAGTCCCTGCCTTCATGTAGCTTATAGTCTAGTGAGTAGAGCTAGAAAAGAAGCAAAATATATTTTACATATTTTCGCAGTCGATAATGATAAATGCTAAGTTGAAAAATAGCATTGGGGAAAGAATAGGGCATTTAAAAAAAAAGAATGGGTCTTTCATTAATTTAAGCTTCCACTTGCTCACCTGCCTTTCATGTTTACTCTGCCTCATTCATCCCAAGATGATTCTATTTCTGTGGGCTTTCTAAAGCAGCAGTCCCCAGTCTTTTTGGCACCAGGGCCTGGTTTCATGGAAGACAATTTTTCCACAGATGGGGTGGGGGCATGGTTTTGGGTTGATTCAAGTGCATTACATTTATTGTGCAGTCAGACCTCTCTGCTAATGATCATCTGTATTTGCAGCCGCTCCCCAGCACTAGCATCACTGCCTCAGCTCCACCTCAGATCATCAGGCATTGGATTCTCGTAAGGACTGTGCAACCCAGATCCCTCATATGCGCAGTTTACGGTAGGGTTCGCATTTCTATGAGAATCTAATATCGCTGCTGCTCTGACAGGAGGCGGAGCTTTTGCAGTGATGCGAGTGATGGGGAGCGGCTGTAAATACAGATGAAGCTTCTCTGCCTCGCCTGCCACTCACCTCCTGCTGTGCGGCCTGGTTCCTAACAGGCCATGGACCAGTACTGGTCCATGGCCAGTGGTTGGGGACTGCTGTTCTAAAGGATATCTTTGATTTTTGTATGGAATGGAACAAATATCGCTTCTAAGTGTTTGCCTTCTATTCAGATTATTAACCAGGTAACACTTGCTGCAAAGTAAGCAAAAGTCCAAAAAAGAGAAGGCAGAGATAAAAAAGAAAAGTAATGGGACAGGGAGGGGAAATATTCCAACCAAATTGGCCACTGCCAAGGGCAAAAAGGCAGCTGGCTATACTCACGAGATCCAACTCGGAGTGAGCCCTCAACAGCTGCTCTGGCCACTTCTCTGACTGGCGGGCTGTGAGCTGGGGCTGCTCTGACCAGGGCCTGGTGCTGTGGTTGTTGTCTATGGAGACTTCCCAGTTGCCCACCCAGGAGGGGAACAGTGGAGCATCTTGGCAACTTAGTCTAACTGTGTCCCAACTGCACCAATGCCTGTAGGATTTTTTTGCATGAACATCGCTGGCCATTCCCGATACCCAGGGATGCTCCAGCCCTCCTGGACAACCCAGAGTCCTCTCTTTGGCCAGGGAGGGAGGCATGCCCCTACCAAGAACACACTCGACTACCTTCGGGCCACCCATGTTCCCACCCAGAATATTCAGAAGATGGATGACAGGTTTTAACATTTCTTACGACTCCCCAGGCAGTTTTTAAGCACTTGGGGTAAGCATCAAAAGCAATTTAAGAGAGGCTGATCATGGAGAGTTCTCCCTCCTCGAGATCATAAATCCCCTGCAGGTCAGTGTTTAAAATGAGTTTGAGCCCATGTGTGTCTCTAAGAGGATTGGGGGCATCATAAACCTGCACGTGACTCAGGGCAGGTCAGCCGCCTGGATCAGCTCCGAGCGCTCCGATCCCGGGAGGAGCTAAGACTGTGTTTGCAAGCCTGTGTGCACTCGCTGAGCTCAGCAGCTGGAAGATTCCCATTTGGGTGGATTTTCTTCTCCTGAGGGTGCAGCTCTCTCTGGCTCCAGCAGGCTCTCATTTTCATTTATGTGCAAAAAAAAAAAAAAAAGTAGTGAGATGCCGGAAAAAATCAAAAATGATGCCAAGACGGTTAAAAGGCTTCTCCTGGGCCTGAGGAACAGGTTCTTTTTATTAAAGAGCGTTAAACTCCCCGTGTGTTTTCCAGCCTTGAAGCCGAAAGAACAGCGTAGGAAGCGCACTCGGCGAGCCAGCCAGGCCCTTCCTAGACCTGCGGGAACAGGTCTGGTGTCCATCAGGGTGGACAGCTTCGTCCTCGGGGCTTTACCTTCCATGCGGGGCAGATCCGTTGGTGGCTTGGGGTTACAAATACCAATGAATGGTTCAAAAATGCCAGTGATGAGAGCAGCAGTCAACACCTCGACTGAACAGTTAACCTCCAAAGTGCCAAAAGATCTGTTTGTTCTCTGTATGGAAGGTGACAATTCAAATGCCCGAGGAATTCTCTAATCCTGCCTGCCCTGAGATCACTGATCATGAGGAAATGTTCGTCACCTGCGTTCCTTGGTTAGCTCCCTCTTCGTCCAGTTCTTACCCGGTATGCAGAGCCTTCCTGTGCTTCTACCCTCCCTCTGGGAGCATCCGGCAACTGCACCCCATTTTCCTTCCTGCTGTGCTCATTGGAGTCCCAAGGACCCACACGTCAGGCCCTGTGTGAGGGGCTGGCCATCGGGTCACACTGCAGGAAGATGGAGTGATTTTTCCAGCTCTTTCCCTCTGCCTGCCCTTGAAATCTTTGCCTGGCTGACTCCGCCTAGTTTCTGGGCATCCCCAGGCACTGTCCTGGGTTCTCTTAAGCACAGTGCCTGATGGTTTTCGTGTACTTCTGCCTCTGCCCCCGTGTGCCGTCCGCCCTCAAGGCCCCTCTCAGACTCTAGGCCCAAGGAGGCTGGCTCACGCTGCTGGCATGGCCCCCGCCCAGCCCCCACCATTGCACCAGCCCCCGGCCACACCAAAACCGAACTTGTGTTGTGACACTGCTGTGTGGTTCGCAAGCTGCCCAGCCCTGCCAAACCTGCCTGGCACAGCTGTGTCCCCCACATGGCTGAGGTGGTCAGGGTCTCTCAGGTACTCCCGTGGCAGCCATGCCAGGTGGCCTTCTGTGACGAAGTGGGAGGAGATCCCTCCTCCTACGCGCCAATTTTACAGCTTCCATAACTGTTCCCAGGGCTGTCTGTGAAACAGCTCCTTCCCTCCCTGCGCAAGACCCCAGATACTCCTGGGGAGTCTGGACGGAGGAGCAGGTTACTGACGGGGGCGGGGCGCCCAGGCACCTCCCCATTCTCTGCTGGAGAAAACACCTTTGCAGCTCCCCCGACACTCATGCAGGTGGGTCCCAGGCAGGCCGAGTCTCCCTAGGAAAGCACAGCACGCGCTCAGGCATGAGGCTCGGAACAGGACAGCGCATCTCCACCGGAGATGGAAACCATGGCACGCAGGCGGTTTCACTGCCATCTGGCCATCCTAGACACGACACAGTGCAATGGCAGGAAATAAGGAATCATGTCACATTGGTGGGGCACAAGGAGGGACCCCTATTAGCATCCCCTGTCCACGCAGGGGAGTGAGGAGGCTTTTAAGACTCAGCTGAGAGCGCCGTGCTCATACTAATGCTCGTGCAAATTCCTGCGGTTCTTTTAGTTTTAGTCACTTTATTCATGTGCCTCAAACCTGAAAGATGTGGCCCTTTGCAGGAGCTGAAGTTGCTTCTTCTCAGGGTGTTTCTCCCATCTATATTAAAGTCTATTATTAATGTTCATTATTATTTCACAAACTGTGACATTCATGACCATTTGTAAACATCATACAAAATCCCACCACTCCAGCGTATTTTGATTTACTTTCTTTTCTCCAAGTCTCTCATGTGAGTACATATGTTGAAATCACAGCTGGATCAATTCTTTTTTTGGGAGAAATGACTCAACATGAGTCCATTGTCTCACGCATGATACCGATCACAGTAACGCCATAGTTTACTTAACCCTGGAGACTAGTTGAAGTTTAAGTTGTTGCTGGTTTTTTTGCTATTGCAGGACTGAATTCAACATTATTGTCCTTATAAAACTTTTTTTTCCTGTGGATCGTTCTGTCTACTGATTTCTCGGGAGTGGAATTACGGGATCAAAGAGCACGAAGCTTTTGCGGCTCTTTATCCTTGTGTCATATGGGTCGGATTAACTTGGGCACTAAACACATTTTCATTTGTTCGTGTGGCTTCCAGGTCACCGAGGAAACGAGCCTCATCCTGCAGACGCTCGGGTACACGTGCACCTGTCGAGGAATCATCAACGTGAAAGGAAAGGGAGACCTGAAGACGTACTTTGTAAACACAGAAATGTCGAGGTCTCTTTCCCAGAGCAACCTGGCATCCTGAAGAGTGGCCTTCGTTTTGGCAAGAGACTGTATTTTCGGGAAGGTACCACGTACTTTCTGACTGCAACTTTTGTCCCTGTTTTTGATGTGTGTGCTCTGTTCACATGTCCTATGGAGCCTTTGCAGACTAGTTCCTGTGACCCAGTGGCATACCGTTTGGTGTCTGATGTGTGCCCAGATTGTTCTGCCACTTGCACTGTGCTTACTCCTAAGCAAAAGGAAAAAGGAGCTCGCGTGATGAAAGAAAAGCATTCAGAGAACTAATAAAGAGGAGAGAGGTGAAACAAACAAAAATTCTTAAGGCAATAAAACTAGGGGGTGTATATTATCTTCTGGTGCATGTTCTTTTCTGGAAAATATGGTAGCTCGCCAAACGCATCCGCTAGTCTGATATTCAAACACACAGTATTTGTGAATAAGTTGATTCTGTCACCCCACATAGAGTCTGTGCTCACTCACGGGTCCCATTGCCAGTGGCCATCCAAGGGCCCCACTGGGACCCGTGACTCTTGTCCCTTTGCTCTGTGTGTCTCATGCCAGCCGCACGTTGCCATCGATCACCAGGATTAGTCCTCACAGCCTAGGACCAGTTTTGTACCAAACTCGTCTGATGTTTTGATGCCATTTGTCTTTTGTAAGGTTAATTCATTAAAAGTTTTATGTACTTTGATTTATAGTGTCTGTATCTTTCGTTTTCCTTTCTTCTTTCTCCTGTGGTTTCTTGCAGAATTAAAGTTTATTTCTCATCCATTCTCCCTTTTGACAGTTGTTTCAGAAAGAGCTCTCCAGAAGCCAATATTGAGATATTCTTAAATAATTCAGATCGGCACAAAGCGTGTGATGCAAATAGTCGATTGCACAGCTCTCTGGAAGGCTAGCAAGCACGCTCGATGTATCTAGTGGTCTGATGTTAATTTTGGTATCTCCAGAGAACACTTTTAGGGAAAGAATATTTTAATAGTAAAAAGATGCTCTGTGAGCAGCAGTAGTCCCTCCATCTACTGTAATCCTGTCTACAGGAATGCCTTGCTAGAGCTACCAGACGCAGACTGCATAAGAATAATTTGGAACCAGCTATGTAAATCAGTAATCACAACAATGCGAACTAAACGAGAGAAGTGCTAAGTCCCACAAGCTGCCTGTTCTGTTTGAGAAGGCTGAAGAAGACACAGAGCCAATGTTTATGCGTTTTTAAAGATAGAAGACCTAGAAGAATTTGTTCTTGTAAATCTAACACTGAAGTTGTTTGTTTTTTTTTTCTTTTAACATAAAGAAATGATACTTTGCCAAATGGTGAAAAATAGAGCAATCGTGTGTAATCCAATGTTTAAAAGCAAAACTGCAAATAACAGCCCTGTTGGGCAAACTTGGTTTCTTTTTACAGCTAAAGACAGGCATCTGTGAGAGGCAGCGCGCCCAAACGGTCCCTCAGGGAGCAGTTCATTAGTGGGAACTCGAACTTGAGGCACAAGTCCCCAGTTTGATTCCTGGTTCTGATTTTTACTAGCTGTGTGCCTTTGAACACATCTCCTAACTCCTCTTAGGAGTGTCTTTCTCAGAGGTAGCTCATGGGATCGGGCAGTGATTAAATGAGCTAATGACGGGGAGAGAACCTGCAGGTACCTGGGGCTCACTCCTGCCGGCACATTCTCAGCACAGACACAGCTGCTGTGCCGGGACCTGCACTCATACTCAGTTAAAAGTGCTTATCGAAACCGGTAACTGTCCTTCATCACCGAGGTATGAATAGAGCATGATTTGTTCAATTTTCTGCCTCAATCAGGAACTTTTTTAACCTGGAATCACAACTGAGCATTGGCCTTAATACACCTAAATCTCCAAAAAGGTGATTGAAGCAAGAGAAATATTATAAGAGCATCTCTCTTCCCTCTGACTGCAATCTGGACTAGGATGCCATAGGGCTTTAGTGAGTTCAATCTGGCCTCATGTATAATCTGAAAGTATGATCAGAGGATCACCTGGTGGATTTTTTCTCTCTTTCATCCTACAGTGCTCATCCTCAGATCGCTTTAGGTCACCTGCCCTTGGTGAAACCCACAGCTGGGTGATTCACCAAATTTTCATAATTTCATGGGGGAGTCCTTCCCACTTCCCCATGAGATGCACTGAACTTGGGTTTGTGGTAAACAGAACTGAAAGGAAGAATTGTTATTTCCCAAATCTATATCACCAGTCTTACCAAATAATAGATTGTTAAAAGCAATCAAAGTCATTTTCAGAATCTACTGTGCAAAGCTCTCTGCATACATGGACCTCTCCAAGTGTGGTCCCAGACTAGCAGCATTGGCATCACCTGGGAATTTGTTAGGAATGCAAATCCCAGCCAGGCGCAGTGGCTCACACCTATAATCCCATCATTTTGGGAGGCAGAGATAAGAGGATTGCTTGAGGCCAGGAGTTCAAGACCAGCCTTGAAAACATAATGAGACCCCATCTCTACAAAAACAATTTTAAATTAGTTGGGTGCAATGGAGTGCATCTGTAGTCCTGGTTACTCAGGAGGCTGAAGCAGGAGGGTCATGAGAGCCCAGGAGTTCAAGGTTACAGTGAGCTATGATCACTAGCCTGGGCAACAGAGCAAGACCCTGTCTCTCAAAACAAAGCAAAATGCCAGTCAGAGGACTCGCAATGTGCTCCATCATCCCAGCTTCCTGTGCCATTGCCGTCAAGTAAAAATCCCTCCTCAAAGTTCTCCTTCACCTTAAGTCTCACAGGAAGTCTTCTCTCATGGAAAACACCTTGAGTCCAGTCCCTTAAAACCCCAGTTTTAACATACTTGTTTAGCATGTCTGAGTTTTGTCATCAATCCTCTATGTTATTCTTTTTTTCCAACTCAATGTGCTTTCCTAAAGGCAGCAACCATTTGCTTTCCTTTGCTCTAGATAAATCTAATAATCAAGGAACACCATGGGCCAGCAGTGGAAATGTGATAAATCGAAACACATTCCAGCTGTGTGCAGTGGTGCACACCTGTAATCCCAGCTACTCAGGGTGCTGAGGTGGGAGGAGGCTTGAAGCCAGGAGTTCAGAACCAGCCTGGGCAACACACCAAGACTGCAATCTCTAAAAATCATATTCTAATATGTTCTCTTTTACAAGATTGGCTTCAAATTGTAAAAGCTGGGATGCCAGGAGAAATACATTTAATTTTCTCTTACTGCCTAACAAATGTGAGATCTTTTGAAACCTTGCCTGATTTCAGCCCTGCTTTTTGAAAATAAGTATATAGTAGAAGTCAAGGGAGCAGGGTCTGAGTTAAGGGAAATTAAAATAAGTTCCCTTGACATTAGTTTATTGCAGTCACCGATGTCTTGGCTTTGTTGAAACCAAGACTGACTAAAGAATAATGTATAAAAATTTCTATAACCCAAACTTTATATAATTTCTACTATGTTGTCATAAATGTGATATGATGCACCCAAAGGTATTCCAAATAAACTACTACTGTTTGACAAAAAAAAAGGTCACCTACACTGAAAAACTGTTTTTTAAAAATAAAGAAATATTTAGGAGTCACTCAGCCTTGCAATTGTACAGAGTCCTCCTTGCAGATACAAAACAATAAAAACAATAATGAAGGAATCACCACTGAAATTAATTAGACCACCTGCCCATTCACTGCTAAACTGTGGGGAATTTAAGCATGGTTGATGAGAGATGATTTCTTTCAAGGGATCCATTCATTAAAAATATAGTTGATTTCTTAATACTTAAATAAGTTTCAGATTATCTCCAAAGTAAACATTTACAAGTCAGGTTAAAAGCAAGCTGGGTAGTGTGCACAACTGTGCCTGTATTATGACTGTACTCATGAATTCCCACACAAACTCTTCCAGGTTTGGAAGTTCCACTTTAAGTTAAGGAAATGTCAGCTCAAGCAGATGAAATAACTTGCCCTGGACCACCTGGAGAAAATGCAAGAGCCAGTCTGTCCAGTCTCTTCCCCTGACCCTTGACTGCTTCTTCCTTGAGGAGTCACAGCCAATATCGTTGGCCACCCAGGCCACCCATCCCTACTAGGGTTTTTGTTCCCAATCGTGCAGATTTCTGTTATTGGTGTCTCAGACCTCTGGCAAAACAAAAATGTAGTATCTAGAGTTCAATTGTGCCGAAAGGCAATTTTGATTATATCTCCTCTTGGAGAAAGGAACCTGTGCAGGTCGTTTGTGTTATCAGGCAGTAGCAGTTTCCATAACTGTGAAGAAAAGTGACTACACAGCACTCCTGTGGGCCCGTCCCCTAAGAATCCTTGCAAACTGTAGAGCCAGTGAACAAAACCAACCAGACAGTTATCAAGTGGGAACAAAGCATGCATTTTATTCAGGTGCTCACAATGAAGGAGTTTCCATAACTGTGAAGAAAAGTGACTGCACAACACTCTTGTGGGCCCCTCCCCTAAGAATCTTCGCAAACGTAGAGCCAGTGAACACAACCAACAGGACCATTGTCAAGTGGGAACAAAGCATGCATTTTGTTCGGGTGCTCACAATGAAGCAGTTTCCAGTATCATTTAGTCTGAAATAATTTCAGATGAAAACCAACACATTAGATATTCTTAATATGTATTAAAGGCCTTTGGCCAGGTTCTTAGCCAAGGCGGCCTCAGGGAAAGCTGCCCCTTTGTCCTCCCACGGTCAACATGCAAGGGAAGCAACACTGCATGCAGCTCCTAAACGGCATGAAAATGGGAAATGAATGAGGCTGCAGGAGCCGTCCTGCTTGCCAGGGGGCACCTGACATGCCCTGCGGGCCACAGGGATCGCTTCAGGCTGGCCCAATGTACCCAAAGCCGGGCGGCTTGAGGCTGGGGATGTCGTTCTTCCGGTAGAAGTCGGCCCGCACGTGATTGGCGCGGCGGTGGTCCCGGTTCTGCGGCTCAACGGGCTGATGGATGCGCCTCCCGTAGACAGAAGACGTCAGCACGCCCACGGGCCTTTCCTGCTCCTGGTGAGGGTTATCGAAACACTTCACATCACTGGCGTGCACAGCGTCACCTGCACCGCTAACCCATCCCTCAGCCCGGTTCCGGGCGCGCGCTCTCCCTGCGTCCCACCAAAGTGGGCCAAGCGGGACCCTCCGCTGGGAACCCTCCTGGGCGCCAGGTACCCCCTGACTCCAGACTCCTGTCCTTGTCCGGCCCCTCCCTCCCCTCCTCCTGCGGGCTCCCCTTCCCTCCCTGCCTCTGTTTCCCCAAAGGCACAGAGCAGCGCTTCCAGCTCAGGGGCTTTGCTCCACCGCGTGCTCCCCCTGGTCACCGCTCTGCTCCACTGCTGCCTGTCCCGTCTCCCCCGCCCAGGTCCGGATCAGACGGCAGAGGCTCCTCCGCCCCGCCCCCCCAAGTCCTTTCCATTTTCCCATGCCCTCACATGGCTTTCCTCGCCTGCATACCACTAATCACTTCCTGGGATTCCTTTGTGATGTCTTCGTCTTTCATTTTTTCTTTCCTCTTTGCAATGTCAGCTCTAAGAGGTCAGGGCTTTTGTCTCATTCTTGTATGCCCAATAATACATGGGAGGGGTTCAAAAAATAGGAGTGGACATAAGTAACGCAAGCCGCGGGTTCTTCTCGTTAGGAAAGCACTAACTTCACTACTAACTGGGAATGTATTAACGTGAACATACATGATAGGAAAACATCAATGTCCGGGACATAAATGGGAACACCTCACAGTACTCTGTCACTTAATTTCATATCAAGATATAAAGGATTATTAAGAGTGGCATGATGGCATTCTTAAACAATAACGACCACAGGCAAAAATTCCATGATCCAAATAGGAATCCCAGCAGAAGGTTTGACGTTATAATTTCTGTGTAATGTATAAAAGATTATACTTATTCAGCACCGGACTTTTAATAACGTGCTATCCTCACATCGGACTTCGTGAAGACAATGTCAGAGTTTGGAAAGGCAACAGAGGCGTCTAACCCAAATTGCAGGAGGGCCTAACCTCATGCACACCTGTGCCCCTGCGCTGCCCCCTGCCCTCCTCACCCGCTGAGCTGTGCTAGTTCCGGTGGTCACACAGCTGTGCAGCTGACTAGCATTTCAGGAAATGGTGGAAAGATAAAAGAGGTGCTGCCCTACATGCGGTGGCTATGGCGGCTTGGTAACCAAACCTGGGGGAAATATTATTGTGTGTGCAACTTCATCCCTAGAAGACCAACTTCCCTAGAAGTCAGGACTCAGAGGTTAAGCAGAGACTTGTTCTATCTGTTGAAAAGAACATCTTAGTTTTGTTCTCCTTAAATTGTTAAATTCTATAGAACCAAACAATAGAATCAAAAAAATTAATACACATATGGCACGACAGAATAGAGGGAACTACCATAGCAGCCTTATCTTAGCTTCTTGGCACAGAAAGAGGAGAGCTGCAGAAAGAAAGTTACATAAAGCAACTGAACATGATATTGAATATATATGTGTATATGTACACACACATATGCACATGTGCATATATATGATATATACATGTATACATGTATGCATACACACACAAATATAAACACACATGTACTATACACACATGCATACACATGCACACACACACGTGTACACACATATACACCTGTGCATGTGCGTATATACAATATACATACATATACACATAAACATACGTAACATATACATATACGTGTGTACACATGCATACACATATACACATACACACATGTACACACATGTGTATGTGTACATTTATGCAATATGCACACATATACATATACACATATACATTCATATATACACATGCATATGTATATACACACATACATACACATACACACTATATCCATATACATATGTACACACATATATACATACATACACATACAGTCATGCACCAAATAACATTTGGTCAGTGATGGACCACATATACAATGATGGTCCCATAAGATTATAATGGAGCTGAAAAATTCCTATCACTTAATGACATCATGCCTATCGTAATGTCATAGCTCAATGCATTACTCATGACCTGGTGGTGAGGCTGGTGTAAATAAACCTACTGTGCTGTCAGTTGTGTAAAAGTCTAGCACACACAATTATGCATAATATGATGATTAGGCATAATAATGACGATTACACAAATTATAATAATAATGAACGACTATGTTACTGGTTTATGTATTTACTATATATACTTTTCATCGTTATTTTAGAGTATACTCCTACTTATAAAAATAAGTTAACAGTAAAACAGCCGCAGGCAGGTCCTTCAGAAGGTATTCTAGAAGAAGGCCTTGTTATCACAGGAGGAGACAGCTCCATGCGTATCATTGCCCCTGAAGACCTTCCAGTGGGACAAGATGTGGAGGTGGCAGAGAGTGATATTGGCGATCCTGACCCTGTGTGGGCCTAGGCCAGTGTGTGCATTTGTGTCTTAGTTTTTAACAAAAAATCTTACAGAGTAAAAAAATAACAATAGAAAAATGTTTATAGAATGAAGACATAAAGAAATAAAATATTTTTGTACAATTGTACAATGCATTTGCATTTTAAGCTAAGTGTTAATATAAAAGAGTCAAAAAGTTTTAAAAAGTTAAAAAGTTTATGAAGTAAAAATGTTATAGTAAGCTAAGGTTAATTTATTAGTGAAGAAAAATACTTTTTATAAATGTCGTGTAGCTTAAGTGTACAGCGTTTATAAAGTCTAGTATGCAGTAATGTCCTAGGACTGCACCTTTACTTACCATTCACTCACGGGCTCACCCAGAACAATTTTCAGTCCGCAAATTCCATTCATGGTTAAGTGCTCTCTACAGGTATACCATTTTTTATTTTTTATACCATATTTTTACTGTACCTTTTTTATGTTTAGATACACAAATACATATTATTGTGTTGCAATTGCCTACAGTATTCAGTACAGTTAGCTGCTGTCCAGGTTTGTAGCCTAGGAGCAACAGGCTGTACCACGGAGCCTAGGTGTATAGTATGCTTGGTTTGTGCAAGTGCACTCCATGATGTTTGCTCAATGACAAAATCTCCTGGTGACGAATTTCTCAGAACGTATCCCCATTGTTAAGCGATGCATGACTGTACATATATGCACACACATACAAGCATACCTCGGAGATATTTTGGGTTTAGTTCCAAACCATTGCAATGAAGTGAGTTCACACAATTTCTTGGTTTCTCAGTGCACATAAAAGTTATGTTAATACTATGTTGTAGTCTATTAAGTGTGCAATAGCGTTATATATAAAACAACGTGCATCCCTTAATTTCAAAAAATTGCTAAAAAATGCTGACACAAAGGCACAAAATGAGCACGTGCTGTTGGTAAAATGGCACCAACAGATTTGCTTGATGTAGGGTTGTCACAGATCTTCAATTTGTAAAAAAAACCCAATATCTGTGAAGCATAATGTAGTGCAATAAAATGAGGTATACTTGTATATATTTTTGTTAATCTATCAACAACTTGTTAACATCCTCTCTTAATATTACCTCTTCGTTAACACGAAGTCCCAGGCTTTTTGCGTGTTCTCTGTCATCTCGGTGCAACCTCTGATCATAATCTAAGTTCCTCTGAAAAACGCAGTCATAGAGGGAAACAACTCCTGTCTGGGAATAAAAAGAGAAAGAAAGCCATGGGTTTATTTGCAGGCTGAGCCATTGAGGCCCAATGGGGCACAGAAGCCAGTACTCTCCCCAGTGGAGACTAGACGTGGATAGTTTCTCAACTTCGGTGAGTATGTGAGAGGAAAGGTCACCTCACCAAGCAGAACCGGCTGTGACCTGGAGCAAGGAGCAGCTCAAGCCCCAGCAGCAAGAGCAGGCTGCCGAGAGGCTCAGGCTGGAGCAAGAGCATTCATTCCCACAGCACCTCTCAACGCTTTTCTGCTCCCTTCTCGACAGGGGTTGTTCCCTGAGCTCTCCTGCTCTCTGACTCTATTGCTAGAGCTCACACCTTTAAATAAAAATAATAAACTTGACTTAGTCCCTTCAGAGCGCTAGAACAAAATATCACAGACTGGGTGACTCACACACAGATTTATCTCTCATGGTTCTGGAGGCTGAGAAGTCCAAGTTCAGGGGGCTGGCAGCCTTGTAAGTCAGGCTTATCATTTGTGCTACTCCAGCGGCGAACCCAGACATGCCGCCTCCGTGGGGTCTGGGAGCATCGAGTCTCTCACTTATGCTTGGTGGGCTTTGTTTTGTTTTTTCCCCCCGAATGATTTCGTCCAACAGCAGGATGCACAGGTGGAAGTAAACAGTGAAGAGCATGCACAACATATGCCTAGTATGTTGGAAACACAGTAATGCCCATTCGCACTGATCACAGGAATTCAGAGCTCCTGGCAGTAATGGGAATAACTGTTCTATTATTTTCTTTTTTTTTTTTCTTTTTATAACCTGACATTGTGAACATAGTAATGGGAATAACTAGAGCGTAATGTAGCTTCAGCCAATCCTTTACAAATCATTCACAAATCATCCGTCACATGCAATACTCCGTACTCCTGCTGGGGAAGCCCACAAGATGACTCAGATGGGGCTACTGTCCTCATTCAATTAACCACCCAGTAAGGGAAACAACAGCGTCTGCTAGAATCCTTATTTTAGGATTCCTAAGAATTCCAGTGGCAATACATGCAAGGCACTTATTCAACCACTGCTCAAATCCCGGTTTGCCTAAGTTCAGAGTCACTCTTTGTGGCTTAAAGGAGAGAAACAACTTCCAGCCATGAGTTGTGGCTTCTGCCACCACTGATCATTTAATGAGTTCACCGGGCACAAGCATCTTCTTGTCATTGTCTTCACTCTCACACATTCAACTTCTCGGTGTGTTCACGCCAAACCGCCCTTCATGTCTCCAGATGGCAACCTTCGGGACAGCCCATGTACTCATAGGGTTATTAAAAAAACCCCAAATCAATGGAGAATTGATGAACTATTCTGCATTCAGTACTGTGAAAACTGGCTAGCTATGTGACTCTTCCCATCACATTATAGACAAAAGTAAATTCTGGATGGATTAGAAAAATAAGTAAAAAAGAAAACCCACAAGGGACTTCCTACACATGACAACAGTGGGAACAATGTCACAAAGAAAATATCAATCACTTTAACTATATAAAAATTAGACATTTGCCTATCAAATAAAATTAAAACTTTTAAAAAACTATTTTAAGGCATGAGAGAAATATCAATTATCTTTAACATATCTAATGTTGGTACAGAAGCTGATTTGCTGCTGGCGGGAAGAGGTTAAGCAAACCTTTTCTGGGTGGGCCACCAGAGCGCCGGGCCCTTCAGTGATACAAAGGAAGTGCAAGCACACCAGCCTCTCCAAGGGGACGGGAGAGGACAAATTCTGCAGAGGTGCATTCTGGCCTTCTATGAGTAAAGAAAGAGATTGCAGTCCAGACCTTTGAGGTTCAGAGCTCCTGGCCAGACCCCGTTGAGGCCAGCAGGCAGACAAGAGCAATAACTTGATACCCCATTACCACCAGGCCACCCACACATACACACAGGAATTTAAGGGGTGAGACAGTAGCTGGGCTCTTGGTCATAATCCAGGTGTTCTGTTGTCTCTGTAATACCTCCTGAACTAGCTGACCTTGTGCAGTGGGTTTTGGGGAAGACAGCTGTAGTTTGCAACATGAAGACCTAGTCTCCAGGAACAAACCCCTGGGCGGTGGCCACACTCACGGTGGGAGGCACTCTCTGCTCCTGCACCCTGAGAACCTTGTGCCAAGGTGGAGGTTTCTGGTGGCCCCTCAATCCCCGCGGCACTCCCTGCAGGTGACAAGCCTCACCCGGATCTAGGGACAGCCTCACCAGAAGGGGAAATGGAGCTCCTTCAGGGACTGCTTGGGCTTGAGCTTTCTTCTCCTGTGCAGCGCTTTTAATCAGGCCGGACGCTTGTTTCTGAACTCGGTAAGCCCCTCTGGGGTTCTTAGACTTATCCTGGGAAAAGACACTGAAGAGGGAAGAATGGACTCAAATCTGAACATGAAAGGAAATGTGAATTCATTTAGTTCCCTATACTGATGAAATCCAATGTAATATGCAACTTTACAGGGGAAAAAATGCCTATTTCTTCTCATTCTAATCTTCTAAAACACAATAGAATAGCAGCTCTAAGCAGCCTCGCCCGCCTCATGATCCCAGGATGAGGTTCTAAGAGCCTGTTACATCTGAGTCTTCACCACGAATCTCACGGCTGGTGGGTGTGGGGTGATCAGAATCTCAGACAGCTTTCTTTTGTGCAGATTTTGCATATTCAGAATTTATCAGAGTAAAAACAAATTTTTCTATCACTGGAAAATAGCACAGAAAAAAATTCATCAGCAAGCAGGCAAGCCTCGCTTAGAAATGTCACTGTCCATTTTTAATACCCAATCAAACTGAAAATCTGTCCTTTTCTTAGATTTTAATTATTAATCTTTCTTGTTTTTTTATCCCTTTATGGTTTGAAGCAAAATGATATTAATAAAAACCAATTGAGACTTAGATGCTATCACAAAACAGACCTTCTGGGTTTACTGGTATTTTGCTATTAAAATCCCTCAAGGAGCTGCCTCTATTTCGTTCATGATGTTCTTTTAAAAAACAAAGCAAAATAGAAAATATTCATCTCTCTTTTGTGATATCTCCCTTTGCCCCTTTGTTAAAATGTAGCATGACCTTAAGCCACTCTGAATACTGAGAAATCACTCTGGTCCGCAGCCTGGGCTGACGCCGTGAGTGGAGTGGAGGCCTGCGGTTACCAGCCCCCACAGCACATCGGGTCTGCTCCTGTACGAGGCACTGTGCTAGGCTCTAGGACAGAAACGGGGTGTCCCTACCTGAAAGGAGACCACAGAGAACAGAAATAAACCCATTGGTTCAAAACCACAGCCAAACAGAAATGGAATAACAGAGGAATGCACAAAGTACAGTGACACAAAAGAATGAGTGAGGAGCCATTGTTTGGGCTGGGGTGGGCAGTGGATGTGACTGACAGCGAGAAGAGACTGCACCACACCGCTGTGGCCAGCACTCTGGGGGAAGAACCTCTCCACGTGCTATCGGTTGAAGTGTGTCCCCCAAACATTCCTATGTTGAAGCCCTAACACGCAGAAACTCAGAACGTGACCTTATTTGGAATGGGCTCCTTGAAGATGTAGTTAATTAAGATGAGATCATACTGGGGCAGGGTGGACTCCTGACCAGTGTGACTAGTGTCCTTATTAAAACGAGAAATGTGGACACAGACGTGTGCATAGAGGGAAAACAACATGAAGAGACATGGGGAGAAGACAGCCATCAAAACACCAAGAGGGGGCCCTAGCACGGAGCCTTCCCCCACAGGCCTTGGAAGGAACCGTCCCTGCTGACAGCCTGACTTCAGACTTCCAGCCTCCTGCACTGTGAGAGAATCAACTCCGCTGTTCTAAGGCGCCAAGTCTGTGGTGCTTTGTGATGGGAAGTAAGAATGGAGATGAAGCAAAGATGACTGCAGCGGGGCCAGAGACCTAACCTAGCGCGCTCACCTCTAGGTAAACTGAATCGGCAGACCACCTGGGTGGGCGACATCACCCATATTCAATTCTCCTCTACTCCTCACTGCACAGATGATCAGTCCTCCATGCTCCTCTAAGTTAGGTGAGGCTACGTGACCAGTTCTAACCAACGAACTATGAGTTCAAGTGACATGTGACTCTAAGACCCAGAGCCCAGAGCTCCTGAAGCTTCATGCTGAGATGACAGCAGCCTTGTGCTGGTGGCTGGTGACTTTACTGAGCAGAGCCACCCTGAGGAGCCCTGTAGCTTGAGAATAAATTTTGTTTTAAGCCACCGAGGCTTTTGGGGTTGTTTGCTACCGTAGACTAGCTCATCATGACTGATGCAAGTGGATGCATGAGCAAGAAGTACTGTTCTGCCACCTCCAGTGCTCAGGGACCTCCCTGGAGCTGTGGGCTTGGTCTATGCCCAGTGCCTCCTCCCAGCCTTTGGAGCTCCTCCTCTCACACACACACACACACACACACACACACACACACACACACAAATAATTGGGGTAAGTTTTTGAGCAGACTGGGACCCAAGTCCTTTATTTTCTCCTGCCTTTCAGACCGTTTTAAATATAAATGTACTCTCCATCGCAAGTGTAAACCAAGTAAGTTCTATAGGGAAAAAAGAAATAAGAAAAGAAATTTATGCTTTTTTAAAATGTAATTATGGCAGGAATAATACTGTGTGCCCACCAAACACATTTCCTCTTCCAGAACAAACAGAAGATGCAATTCCAAGTATCCCTCACAATTAGGCTGGGGTCAGGAATGTGGGTGACACCAGTGAACGCCTCTCCCAGGCCTGGCCCATAAAAGACGCCCAGGCAGCCCTCCGGGCCCTTCTCCTCGCTCATTGGCTGGCGGACTCAGAGGATGCAATAAAGGACTCCAAAGTCCTAAAGTCTCCCGGGCGCTGGCAAGTGAAACCGTGAAAAAGAAGGAGTCTGGGTTCCCAGTCGCTGCACTAAGGAGAGCCTCCCGGGAGAACATACATCAGGCTATGGGCGAGGAAGCAATAAGCTTTTATCATGCGACGTTTATCATCTTAAGCCCAGTGGCGCA